GATTTTCATTTAATGTAATTTGATCTTGATTCTGTTTTTAATTTGTCTAATGTCTTAATTTGAGCATTACCTTTAATCTTATATTATAGTCATGTATTAAATTTATAGATTAAATCCCCTAGATTTTAGAATTAATCGACGAGTCAATTCTCACACTTTTTATCAAGATAATACATATGTTATATAATTTGTTCAAGTTTAGGCAGAAAAATAAAACTCAAAATAACTTAACTGCATTTGAACCCAAGTTGAGTTAGTAACCAAGCAAAGCCTTAACCAACAGGCTAAATATAATATTTAGGAATCATTTAAAATATTTTTATATATTATATATTATAGCTAATGATAGAAATGAAAATAGACAAGTGAGGACTTAAATCTAGGCCAATTGAGAATATGATAACACTTGAATTGCATTAAAAAATCTAATATATTATTTATCTGTTTTTATTTTTTTATCATTAACTATAATATATATATATAATATTATAATTGATTCTTTATATTAGATTTAGCTTATTCGTTAGGGCTTGTTTGGTTACTAATTCATTTTGGGTTCAAATCCAATTAAGTTTTTTTTTAAAATTTTTTTGCCCTAAACTTGAACAAGTTATATAACATATGTATTATCTCAATAATAATCATGTAAATTAGGTCAGTGGTTAAGGCATGCACAGGCCACCTTTGGGGTGTCAAAACACATCTTCATTTATTTTCACTTCATTTCAAAAGGTGACATATGTCACCTTTTAATTAGATTGAAAATTTATTAAATTAAAATTAAAAACTCTCTAATCAGATTGTGACACAATATGTTTGGAAAATAAATTTATAAAATTAAATTGAAATTAATATCTAATTAAAAATTAAGAATTAAAGTCAATCATGGTGATCAAATTAATTTATTTTAGTTTTATTTTTCTGCCTAAACTTGATCAAATTATATAACGTATGTATTATCTTGATAACAAGTGTGATAATTGGCTCATCGAATAATTCTAAAATATAGGGGATTTAATCTATAAATTTAATACATGACCATAATAAAAGATTTTAAAGTTAATGCTCAAATTAAGACATTAGACAAATTAAAAACATGATCATGATCAAATTGCATTAAATGAAAATCCAAGGACCCGTACCCTAATTATATTAATTTTGTTAACTGTCAGATAAACACTTTCGTTAAATGTTAATGGTATGTGACTATATTAAAATCATTTAATTAGTTTAGTGGTCATATTGATGTAAATTTAAAAATGATGACCATTTCAAGACCAGGACCATAGTTGGGGTGGTCATTTGTGTAGTTTACCCTAAAATAAAATAAAAATCACATAAGCATATTTGTATGTCAAGTGTCTTTTTCTTTATTTAATAAATAGACCTGGGGAGTGGGGACAGCCTAAGAAAAATGAGCATGTGACGGAGGACCCAAAGGGCAAAAAGCTGCCCAGTGCTTAATGCTGTTATTTTATTTTATTGTTATGTTTTTGTTTTTGGGCATGGATTTTGCTCCTTTCACTTCTACTGCTTCCCGCCATTCTTATTCATTCATTCTTTTTGTAAATTACCCTTTTAGCCTTCTCCCAGTTGGCATCTGTATGGTTAAACAGGCTGAATTAAAACAATGGAAACAATAAGATCAAACCACAACCTAAATCTGCGATAGAATCGGTGAAGTGAAAAGGACAATTAAGTCCTGTAGAATCAAGCATTAGCTTAGGTATCGTAGATGCTTCCATTTTGATCAAAATAAATGAAGGTGTCTATTCTCACACATGTAAGCAATCTTTTTATCTATGTGGTCAGGGTGCATTCTTACTACTTTTCAATGCAACCTCAAGAATGTTGCTTAAATCAAAACATATTTGTGATCCAAAATAATTCACACGTAATTTTAGGAATTAAATGTATTTAGTTAGTAAAGTTTGAGGCCTTAAATTAATAAATTAAACAAGTAATATGATTATCTAAATTTCTTAATTCATTTTAAAAACTCTTAACTATTTTTTTTTTTTTTTTTATAACGATGAGTACCCTGAAATGCACCAACGAGAAGAAAAAGAAAACTGTACGTGTTGAATAATAAGAGGGAAAAAAAATAAATTTTAACTTTAATGATTTTAATTTTTAATCGTAATATGTGGAAACGGGCAATAATGAAGTAATTACTACTGCAACACATAATGGTGTAGAAATTATTGATCTTAAAACAAATTAGCCATTTAGTTATTAGACTTTCATGCTTGTTCTCCATACGAAAGCACATCACATGGTATCTTTTAAGTCTACAAACCCAATTCAAACCACGCACTAGCATTTATTATCTTTAAACACAGCTATTATTTGTTTTAATCCAACTTCTAAAGAGTTTCAAGGTTAATCAATACGTACGTATATATTAAAAATTAAATTATACATTCTTATATTTTCTAAATTACCTTTAAACCTAAACAAAATCCCTAATTATCTCTACTAAAAACAATCTTATATGCTTAAATGTACTTAAATATGTCTACTTGAATTCTCATTAACATTAATGTTAATTGAGCCTCAATATTATTGATGGATCTCTCAATTATTCGGTTTGAAAATCTAATAATCGATAAGATATTATTTTCTTGCTATGCATGTGCACTGCTTTAGCCTTGAGATTTTATCTCTCGATCTGTAAGAGGGCTCCGACAGTATCTATAATGGAGAGAGCACAGTTCGTAAAACATTGTTCCTGCCTAACATATCCTCAACTTAGCTAAAAGCTCCCTCTCGTTGCCTGCTTACATGACGATAAGGAGAAGCGTCAACAATTGGTAAATTCCGGTCATTTTAGTGTTAGACAAGTGACAAACGAACAGACAAGTGCGATATACCCATAATAACTTTGAACTACCTTTAAGTGGCAAGTAGCTACCACCCTAACCCACGTAATAATAGCTGCTACGTGGACGTGGCGTCCAGAAGATCGGTTTCACTTGTGAAAGTGGGTCAAATTTTCTTACTACAAAGTTATTCTCCATCACCATCTCTTTCGACAACCCAAACTACCAATTTTCCTTTCAAATTAACATAAATAAACCCTCATAAACACCGTCTCCCATCCATAAACTCAACAAATACTACATTAACTACTTTCAACAAATGCAATAAGCCATTCTCCTGCGTAAATATTTGTTTATTTGATCTCTTTGTGAACATATAATGCCTTAATTATTATTTGGTAGTGTTTTGTCCAAATATAATGCCTTAGCTTTAGTATCGAAGGGGCTTCAATTTTGATCCAGATAAACGAGCCTTGCTATCGTCACATACACACAAATCTAAGCAATCTATTATCTATGTGGTCGTGGTGTAATCCTGCTCGACACTTATTAATACAACATCATAACTAATAAATTTGTGATCGAAAATATTTCACACGTCACTTTTAAGAATTAACTAAATGTAGTTTGTTAGTAAGTCTTCCATTCAATTAAAAAGAGAAAAACTTTGGCTTGGTTTCCCTGCTCGGTTTTGCTCCGGTGAGGATTTAAGTACTTGTGCTACTTGCGTGGTAAGGGTGGTAGTTCGAAGTGATAATGTATCGAGAAATGGTTTATTATATTTGAGACTTTGACTTAAAGTATTCTTCTTCTTCCATTTAGGATTAGAAATTTTTTTTAACGAAGCCTTAATTTTAATCATGCTTTGTATATGACATGATCATCAATATACACAACTCTCCTTTAAAAAAAAAAAGTCCGTCTATTTCAATTACGCACCAACATTGAATGATCATTCACAAACTATATGGTCACGTTAAATTTTTTACTTTTAATTTACCATTGTAATAATAAACAATGTATCAATGCCTACGACTAATTGATTTAGTGGGACGAGTCATTAGATCCTTTAAATAAGACCATGATTTGAATCATAATATTTGCGAATAAATTAAATTAGATTAGAAATGTCTTTCTTACTTTTGCAGTAACCGATCCAGATTAATCTAACAATAGATAAGATACCAATAGTTATATTAAAAAATTAAACAACACATCAATACAAATACGAGTAAAATCAATTGTTATAATGTATTAATAAATAAGTAATCAAAATATATTTAAAAATTAAATAAAATATTGTTTTGGTTTAATCATCGATATCTAAACTATTGATCAATTATTTTAAGTCGAGTTCTGAAAAGTTTATTACGGAGGGCGACCCTCTCAACTTATTTAAGAAATATAGTGTCTTATTCTACTAAATTAATTGGTCGTGGATTCAAATAAAATAAAATAATTTTAAATATGATTAACGTATAATAATTTAAATAAAATTAAATTAAGAATTTACACTATTATTCCTACAATATGAAACATTGATAATTTTATATTATAAAACTCTAGATTTTTACCTTTACTCCACTGAAAACTTACTTTTTTTAATTATATGTAATAATAATTAAAATATATTAATCGTCGTCGACATTAAAAAGTGAAAGTTGCTAATTAACAAAAACCAATAAAATAAAAAGTGTATTTCGCCATTTGCTTTTTCGCGGTATAAAGGAGGGCCAGAGCCTGCTGGGGTCGACGGACCAATTGGTAACAAAGAAAAAAAAGGAAAACAAGAGAGTTGTTATATTGTTAATGTCAATTAAACCAAACAAAGGCTCACCGGTGGAAGTTAGAAGCAGTGAAGAAGAAGAAAAGATCGATAGCGGTTGTTACTGTCTTTGTCTTCACATCTCTTCATTTCTGTTACTCTTTCTCTTGATTTGTTTATATTTTCAAGCCAATTCGTTATAACCTTTGCCGCCACTCCAACCACCGCCACTTCCTCCACCGACTGCCACGTTCTTCTATTTTCCTTAAACCTTAATCTGAGCTTATTGAGCCTGCGGTTAAGAATACTCTGTTTTCAGAGGTATTGAATTGAAAAAAAGAGTTGGGTCTCTGATTTCAGTTTCTTCATCTGCATTTTTCTTTGTAATTTTTCCTTCACTGGTGTTGCTACAAATGGAAGTAGCAGAGAACTGCTCGGTGAAAGTCGCCGTTCATATTAGGCCGTTAATCGGGGATGAACGAAGTCAAGGTTGTAAAGAATGTGTTACTGTTACTAGAGGAAAGCCTCAGGTACTCTGTTCTTAGTTTTAGATTTTTTTAAAAAAAAATGTTTGTTTCATTCTTGCATTTTTTATTGCATGCGTGAGTGTGTTTTTAACTAAATTCAAGCATTATTTCATTTATTATTTTTAGTTTTCGTCATTACTAATTGTTTTTGTTTATCAGTAACAGTTTTATTTTTAATATATTTGTTTCAACAGTCGACCATTTTTGTTTCTATCACGACAGCTGAAGATTGAACTAATATTTTTTTTTTCTTCAGAAATCACGCTTTTTAAATACATGACGGAAAATCTAAGAGTGAATTTACTAAAATTTATCCCGAAACTGTAGTTATTTAAGTGGAAAAGATTCTGGTAAAGTGCAAGTTTATTTTGAGTCGTATTGCAGGAAAACAAGATATGTGGAGGCGGTAATCAAATAGACCAAACAATTTGTGATTTAAAATACTCGGTAACTTGTAAAAGGAAGTACCATTTTCCCTAAAAATATGAAATTTACGGAGTGGTCTTGTGATTGGTAATGTTAGTTGCTGATTCCTGAATGGTTATATGCTCTCTCTGTGTATTTCCCTTTTGATTTCCCTATCAACTATTGTTTTCCCCAGAATTTTTATGTAAAGAGGTTTTGAGTCACATTCGTGGTCACTGGAATTGAATTATTTTATTTTGTAACCTATCTGCAAATGTTCATAATTTAATGAGATATGGTTCTATTCTGCCTTGTTTTGTTAGTCGGTCCCACGCCATCTTCACGATCACGGTAGAACAAATGCACAAAATTCAATCAGTATCTGCAGTTAATGAAACTCCAGATGAAGATTTGGGAGAAGAGTATTTATGTGCGAAGCTCCATTTGGTAGATCTTGCTGGATCTGAACGAGCTAAAAGAACAGGTTCTGCTGGTCTTCGGTTGAAAGAAGGTTTGTAAATATGCTTATAAACTTAGGTACAAGCTTCCTATGTGTGGTGGTGGTTTTAAATGGTCATATTAATTTCATGAACAGGTATCCATATTAACAGAGGGCTTCTTGCACTTGGCAATGTAATCAGTGCTCTTGGGGATGAGAAAAAGCGTAAAGGTGTGCATGTTCCTTACCGAGACAGTAAACTGACTCGACTCTTGCAGGTTAGATTTATTTTAGATTGATTAATGCGGCAGTAATTTAACCCGGTGACATTAAGATAACCAAAAAGTGCTCTGATTTCAAAGTCAATTTTATAGTAGCATCTACCTTTCTCAGTTTCTCACACATTTATGAGGACCTTTTAAAATAAGTTGAACAGTTTCTCGCACAATTTAATGTGACCATTCAGCCTTACTGAAGTTGGTATATATCAGATGCTCTTGGTGGACAGTGTACATCATATTGTAACATTTATTTGTAACGCTTTAGAGTTTAGCACTATGCTGTCCTCCACTCATTTTATTTTCTTTTTTGCAACTATATTTAATCGGCTAGAAACTTATCTGTGGGAATTGATATAGCAGTATCTAGGCTATTGGTTCATTATCTTAAATTAGGAATGTTAATTTAATTAAAAACTTTTTTCTTTCTTTCTTATTCCTTTTTATTGTCTGATCTGGTATTGTTTGTCTTTTTCAGGATTCACTTGGTGGAAACAGCAAAACAGTTATGATAGGTAAATCTCGAAATAGTTGATTTATAGCGGTCAATGTTTTTTTCCCTTGGCAGAATATTATACCATTTTGTTTCTTCGCCAGAAAACCAATAATGAAGTGAGTCACTTCGTAACCAAGTTTTTCGTCAGACTCGAGCTTTAATGACATCTCAAGCCTCCATAGGATCTTATCATTCTCAAAGCATACTATATATAACCTTGCTTTTAGGAAGAAATTCTGTATGTTTGAAACCAAGGTGGCAGAAACAAAAGGAGGAGGCTGTATGGACTTGCATGCATGAAGCCCAGCACTTGCTACATCCTGCTATTTCTTACTTTAGCTTATGCCTTGTCCGCTTGCTTGTTTTGCCAAATATGATTGTTTGCCATTTATCAACCACACTACTGTTAATAAGGTCTAAAATGAAATGGTCAAATTCCGATCTTTCTGGGATTATGAATCTTTTCCCTGTCATTGTGTGCATTCTCAACACATGTTTCTTATGCAAATACTCTTGAAAAAACTATATTTTAATATTCTGTTTCCTGTTTCTTTTTATCATGTTTCTCATTCTTGTTCTATCTAGTTTGTATCTTGCTTTTGTTACATGTTAGGGATTGTTTCTCAAAATCTTGATTTTGGTTGCCTAAATTCTTTTATTCTCCTACTATCTGTCATAGTGAAATGTTGGTTTTCTTTTCCAGCTTGCGTAAGTCCTGCAGACATCAATGCAGAGGAAAGTCTTAACACCCTGAAATATGCTAACCGTGCTCGCAATATCCAGAATAAGCCTGTTGTAAGTTTTTTAGGCTGTTTTATTATGACTATATATGCTGTAATTCTATCCTATACTACTTGTCATGTGCTACTTAAAGAAATTGTTCAGTTTTGTGATTCTTTAAATTCTGACGTGAAAAGAATTATTTCCTGTGCTCCCCTTTTGTTTTCTTTAAAGGTTTTAGATTGCCTCATTTTTGTTAGATAATAGATCATCACCTGAAAGGTTTGCATTTATTCTGCAGGTTAATAGAGATTTAGGATCCAATGAGATGCAAAAAATGCGTCAGCAGCTACAGTACTTACAAGCAGAACTTTTTGCTCAAGGGGGGCCTATTTCAGATATACGGGTATTTTTGCTAGTTTCTATATATATATTTTCTCTTTGGAGATATTAAAACAGTGGTGCATAAAAAAATCTCTTAACAGAGTCTCAAAGAAAGGATTACCTGGCTGGAGGCTACTAATGAGGATCTTCGCCGAGAACTTCATGACTACCGCAGCAAATGTGCTGTTGTAGAGTGTTGTGAAGCCAGTGCTCAAGTATGTTGATGGATTATGAAGTCTCTTTTTACCATTTGTTTTCCTTGTCTTTCCGATTCTTTGCAAATCAGTTAGAGTATGCTTTGAACTGGATCATATTCCTTGATAATAATTCAATATGTTAACTCATATTTGTTTCATAGTAAAACATCATTCCTAAATGAGGGTCGCTAAATTGGTTGTTACATAACCAGTTTTTTGTTCTATATCTCAGGAGGGCCTTTCATGTTTTGTGAAAAATGATGGACACAAGAGGGCCATTCAGTGTATGGACGAATCTGATTATCAAATGGATGAAGTTCTGACAGGTAGTTACTCACTTATTTGGTTGATAGCATAATGTTGGAACTAAAACAAATTGTGCTTTATTATGAAAAAAACTATTTTCAGTCTCATCTTGTGTTAGTGGTGGAACAGGTAAACATCTTTGTTACTGTGCAACATGAAAAATTCCTTCGGATACTAAGCTTCTTCAAAAAAAAAATTAAGGTGCATTGTTTGTAATAGGAAATTGCTGATTTCTGCAGATGAAAATCCAGAAGAAATTTATGAAGTAGCAAAAGAAATGGAGCATGCACTTCGGCAGAATAACATGGATAGAGAATTGAAAGAGTTGAACAAACGCTTGGAGCAGAAAGAGGTTTCCCTTTTGCTTTTTGTTTTTTCATGCAGACATAAATTACCATTTAATGGATTTGAAAAAAATTAGCTGACCCTATTCCCATATGTGATGGGGTAAGGGGGAGGTAGGATAGTAGGTTATCTACCAAAGTCAGGTTGAGAGCAACTTCCGTAAGAGACATCCTAATTATGAAATGCCCTCCGTGGGACTCGATCCCACGACCCCAAGGTTAAGAACCTTGTGCTCTACCAAATGAGCTGGATGGTCATTTCCATTTAATGGATTTGAAAGAGAATGCTTATTACTCCAACTGAGATGCATGTTAAGAAGAAAAATACGTACTGATCTTTCCTAAGTAGAATCCTTTTTAATGATCCAAGAGCTTTGCGCATGACTTCAAAGGAGCTTTTCATATTCAGTCTTATGATTAGGTTTTTAAGAAGTAGATGTCTTGTTCAAGAAGCTATGAGTGAATTATATGCTTCTGGTAGAGTTCTGGCTGGAACTAAACTGATATTCTTGTGAACTGATTCAGTCCATTCTCTCTTTGCAGTCTGAGATGAACCTTGTTGGAGGAGCTGACACTGAAGCACTGAAGCAGCACTTTCAGAAGAAAATCATGGGACTTGAGGAGGAAAAAAAAATTGTGCAGGTAAAAATTCCTTTGATTTCTGTTGTTTAATAGTTTAATATTCATTCTGCTCTGATGCTTAATTCTATATAACACAACAATAGCAAGAAAGAGATCGTTTGTTAGCTGTAGTCGAGAACTGTGTGGTTAATTCCGACTCACAAATGCAAAAAGCGCAAGAGATCAACGTGCAGAAACTAAAAGCACTTGAGGGACAGGTGACAGTATGATACATTATGATACCCAATCATTATACTTCTCTGAGAAAATATTCTTTTCAATTTCTGACATTTTATTCTCCTTTTTTTTTCTCTAACTGATTTCAGATTGCTGATCTCAAGAAGAAACAGGAAAATCAGGTTGAGCTCCTAAAGCAGAAGCAGAGAAGTGAAGAAGCAGCAAAACGGCTGCAAGCAGAAATACAGTACATCAAGGCTCAAAAAGTCAGTTTCCCTTGAGTTATCTTTTTTATGTTTACATTCATGCATTGTGGCATTAAATATCTTATTTTTTTGGAAACACCTTCTCTTATTTGCAGGTTCAATTGCAGCACAAGATAAAACAAGAGGCAGAACAATTTCGACAATGGAAGGCCAATCGTGAAAAGGAGTTGTTGCAGGTGCGTCACTTTTTATGAATAGCATAATCTAGTTCCAGCTTCCTTTCTCCTTTCTTTTCACATTTCTATGAAGAAGGGTTTGTACCGCAAAAACAGATGTGCTTCCATTATGAACTTGATAAAAAAATTGTGCTAGAAAGCAACTGATCATGCTTTAAGTTTGGCTTTTATTATCTAGATTTTATTGAATTTATGGTGAAGAGGGAACATTAGTATCTTTTTTGCTTCAATCAAATATACTGTTGCATCACAGTAACAAAGTTAATACCCTCCTCTTCAAATTATTATGTATCTCAATGAAGCACTTCATTATTTGGACCTTCAATAGGGACATTTTGTTAGATTCTTCTTGCCCACAAATGCTTTCTGCTCACTTAATGTTGACTTGTAATAGACATTAAGAAATATTTTGGCTGGTAAAGTATTCCTTCCAATGCTCTCAAAGTTTGGAAAGTAGCTTCTACTAGTCATGCTTGCCTTTTGTATCCTATATTTTATTTTATTTTATACTCTAACGCTATTAAAAATGGCTGTCCCTTTTTTCCCATATGTATGGGGTAAGGGGGAGGTAAGATAGTAGGCTGCCCCCAACACCAGGTTGAGAGCAGCTTCCGTAGGAGACCTCCAAATTATGAAATGCCCTCCGTGGGACTTGATCCCACGACCTCAATTTTGATCTTTTACTTTCTTGAACAGCTTAAAAAGGAGGGAAGGAGGAATGAGTACGAAAGACATAAACTTGAAGCCCTAATTCAACGCCAAAAAATGGTAAAGAATCATGAAAGGCATGATTAATCTTTGATGTTTTATTATCTCCTCTGTTGAAAGTGTTGGAACTCTGAGGATTGATCAGTCAAGTTTCGAAGGGATTTTCTCCCTATCGTGAAACTTTGTGACAGCTTCTTTGGCTTCTTTACTGCATTTGGTTGGCATGGTTTTATCGGTCCAGTGACCAACAATCAACTTTTTCTTCCAGGTTCTTCAAAGGAAAACAGAAGAGGCAGCAATAGCTACCAAAAAGCTGAAAGATTTGTTAGAAGCACGAAAGTCTTCTATACGTGACAACTCAGGTAAATGTACATTGTGAAATTAATCTATTATTAGTTCTCTCTATGATATACTGATTGTTTGTTATATCTTTCAGTTAATCACAATGGGCATACACCAAATGGACAGGTAAATGATTTGTAATTCTGCATTATGTCATGAGCATTACTGCATTACTCTGGATCAATAATATCTGATGAGCTAGCATCATGTTTATATATCGATGTAACTTAGGCTAGTATCCTGATAAAAAATGCAGGAGTTCAGACTATTGTTTTAAAAAGTATTTTGGTTGTAAACCAAATGTTTAATGAACTCAAATAGGAAATACAGAGTAAATAAATTTGACCTAGAGGTTAGTTTGTGATTTATTTTGCATCTGATCATGAAAGGAACGGACAATTTTAAGTCGTCCTTGAGCTACTGTTGATTTTTTTAACATAAGTTTCATAGCTAATATTAACTGATTATCATTTGATTCTTTTACCTTTAGAGCAATGAAAAATCTGTGCAAAGGTGGCTTGATCATGAGCTAGAAGTAATGGTGAATGTGCGTGAAGTTCGTTTTGAATATGAGAAACAGATCCAAGTGTAAGTATCCATTAGATTGTTTCCCTTATTCTCACTTATCCATAGTAAACCTTCTGAAAGTGGTATTTAAATAATTATTTAGGAAAACTGCTCTGACAGAGGAGTTAACCTTAGTGAAACAAGTGGATCAGTTGTCTTCAACTAGTGCCATTCCTCACAGTGTAAACAATCGACATTCTAGGTACTTAATGATTATATTTCTATATATTCTGTGTAATCTCTCAACATATTTTCTGCAAGTATGGTGTAATGCTGGGATCAATTCTCAACTCTACATCTTAATTATTGTTTCCTTTTACTTCTTCATTTCCAAAAAGTAGATTGCTATCTATGTCACCAAATGCAAGAAGGGAGAGAATAGCATCCCTTGAGAACATGCTTAGCATGTCATCAAATGCACTCACGGCAATGGCTTCACAACTCTCGGAGGCAGAAGAAAGGGAGCGTGGTTTGGTTGGTCGTGGGCGGTGGAATCAAGTACGCTCAATAAATGATGCAAAGAACCTGCTGCAATACTTGTTTAATGCTACTGCAGAATCAAGGTACTTACAAATAGAATCTAAAATTTTTCATTTCAACTTGGTCTTTCTACTGCTGAATTATCCAACACTTGAAGTAAGGTGCCCATTTTTTTTAAGTCCCGAACCTTTTTGTATTTTTTTTTCTGTTTGAGGTCACTGTAAGAACATAAAATTAGGGGTTCTGTTTTATGGGTTATGAAGATTTATCATGTCAACATCGAATGTTAATTTCGGTGGTAACTATATGAACAGGTGCCAGTTGCGGGAAAAAGATTTGGAAATTAAGGACCTTAAACAGCAATTGAAGGATCTCACAGCTCTATTATGGCAAAGTGAGGCGCAGAAAAAAGAGCTTGTGAAGGAGCAAAAGATGAGGGAGCAAGCTGTTGCTATTGCCTTGGCTACATCAGCGACGGTGAGATTATCATCTCTTCAGTCACCTTTTTTTACTTTTGATGTGTAATACTCTAATACATTTTCATTCTAACCTTTGATGCAAAACTCTACATCCTTCTTATTAACTATCTATTGACTGCAATTAATTAATTCTGATTTCAAAGCAAAACATCCTAGTAGTGCATCAAGAATTTCGAAGCTGATTTCGATGAATAGACTTCTATAATTCCGTGTCTTCATCTTTCAGTAATATCTGAATTATGAGCCTTGGTTGTTCTTTTGAAACTTAAGGAATACACAATCATTTCCTGACCAACTCAAAGTACTCGTTTATAACGAAATAATTCCTCATTCTCTTGTATTATTTTTAAGAATGAAACGGATTTCCACAGGGGAACTCTCGTGGTTCATCTAAACACTTTGCTGATGATTTGAGTGATCCCCTTTCACCGGTGTCACTCCCGGCCCCCAAGCAACTGAAATTTACACCTGGGTTTGTTAATGGGTCCATTAGAGACTCGGCAGCATTTCTAGATCAGACACGAAAGGTGAAATATCTGACCAATGCGGTCTTGTAGATTATTGTCTTTCTGCTTGATCAAGAAAGTAGACATTTTCGGTGCAGATGGTACCAGCTGGACATTTGTCAATGAAGAAATTGACAACCAAGGGGAAAACTGGAAAACTCTGGAGGTGGAAGAGAAGTCATCACCAATGGCTACTTCAATTCAGATGGAAGTGGCAGAAGCCATGGAAACTATCAGAATGGATCAAACACAGCGATGAAACGATCATGAGATCAAAGCGTCGTGCACTGACCCTGATTGACCAAATATGATAAAAGCTTATATCGGCCAGCATTTTTGTTCTGTATATGCATCTTGACTAGCAAACTTGATATGCATGGCTCACTGGAAAAAATAAATGCAGGTAACCAGTTTGTTGTTTAGTTTGTTTGCACTAGAATAAACATTGAAATTTACTTACAAATGTTAATGTCAAACTATGTATAGATCATGGACATCTTCTAGGAAAAATAAAGAATACTGATACCATAGAATCCCAATTGACACTAGAAAATATTTGATTAAACCTTTTCTCTTAGGGTCTTGTATTCACTAGTAGTTGTTTCATAATCAGCCAATCCAACGTAGTGAAACTGAGAAGTGGGAATTCATACTCGATTGAAAACTCACATTTCGTAATTGATGCTTTGTTCTTCCTTGAATGCAGGCATGGTGTAAATAGGGAAGAGGTTGTTGATATTGACAATTTGCCTTAGTCTTATATGTGTAAACACGAAGCTTGTGCAACCTTAGCATGGATGACAGAATGGTTGTGCTTTGATGCACATGTTTCATTGTTTGTAGTCTTCTGCTGCTTTTTTAGTTTATTCTTTTCTTTTGAAATTGGAATGTCTTCTACCAATGTTTTTTTTTTTTGGTCGAATTTTTATTTTTGGCATGTCATGTGTAATTGTTATATGTTTATATAAATTTAACACTTGTATATATATATATATACATTTTCATTCATCCGTGTTTTATTTAATTATTTTTATTTTATTTCTAAATGTCGTTTTATGAGCTGAAGAACCAAATTATTCCCGGACTTTGTTTATATTGAAATAATATTAATAATTTAACTGCTAATCAATTTTTAATGGCTGTCTAGATTTATAGCACCCAACAATTTATGAGAAAGTCTAAGAAAAGCTGAAAAAACGGCGTGATAAAAAAATGTGAGAAGAACCCTAACAATATAGGTTGAGTACGATCGAAAATGTAATCTTATTTATAATATTTTTTGTTGTAATCATAAAACTAAACTGGTAAATTGATAATACCGAAAAGTATCGATACTTTTTTTTTTTGAAATTATGTATATTTATAAAGCAAGAGCATCATAGATGATTAAATCCTTTACACAGTCGGGTTCATTGATGTACTGAACTTTGGTCCCTCTATTACCATTTAGCAGGCTCTGGGTTTCGTTGAGCAACAATCCAATGGTAGACTTGTCTTGTTTCTGCTGGACGAGTCTATTAACCACATTGATCGCATTCCCTTCAATCGTCGCCCTTGTCCAACCATTTTCCAGATCAAATATAATTCCCTGCGTAAATGCAACCGCCTCAGCAGACTCCGCTGTAGACGGAGGTTCCAATCGTTGACATCTACCCCCAATCACCATACCATAGTGATCCTTAGCAGTGATCCCAATGGCTGTAGTTTTATGAGTTTGTGAGAAAGCCCCATCAACGTTTATCTTGATGCAACTTTGATCTGGCTTTTTCACTTTTGGGGACTTTGCTGATTAAGGAGTGGGGTACAATTCTTCCGTCAATGGTTGCTTCTGATAGTTCTACACTTAGGTTCCAAGCGGTATTACCACATCTCTGTCTTCCTGCAGTTCTCTATCATGAACCCATTGTTTCTTCTATTCCAAATGTTCCAGAGTAAGATAAGAAGCTTAGCGAAGTCTTGTAAATCCAATTTGTTTAAAATCTATTCCAGCCAATCTTTGTAGGATTCTTCTCTCCAATTTATGATTTCCTCTTCTAACCCTGAGATTTGCAAGATGCTTTTAGCTTTGGGACATTCTTTAATGGCATGCCAGAGGGTCTCATATTCTTCATTGCACAACGGGCAAGAACCCTCAAATATATTTGCTTGGTGGAGTTTCTCCCCATATGGGAGTGCATTATGGCAGACCCTCCATCCAAAGATTATGATCTTTGGTAGAATTGGGAGTTTGCTGATAGCTTTACATATCTTTCCATGTTCCGCTGTAATATTTTCCCTCAGCAAGAGCCAATTATAACATGACTTCGCTGAACAGCAATCAAAATTATGATGGCTCTATATTTGTTTATCCTCCAATATGGGGGCAATTAGAGTAGATAGAACTTTTTCTGCTTCTTCTTGGAGTAACACTACTTGAACTTTATTCTTATCCCATCTTACTAAGTTTGGATGCATAAAGTCCGTACATTTGAAAGGAGAGTCGCAATTATCCCCATAAGTACTTGTCCATCTAATAGGAGATGAGTGACCTCAGTTGTCAATGGACATCCTTATCTTTCTTTCCAAGCTTAGGTGCCAGAAGAATCCTTCTTTCAGAGCTTCTTTAGCTTGGAAGATGATGTTCCAAACATATGACGCTCTTTCTCCCAACTTGGATTCGAACAGATCAGAGTTAGGGAAGTATTTAGCTTTCAGAACCATGTATGCCAGAGAAGATTGATCTTGCATAAATCTCCATAATTGGTTTCCTAGGAGAGCCAGATTAAACAATTTTAGATATTTGAATCACATTCCACCCAGCCGTTTAGCCCTACATACTTTTTCCCAGGCTACCATTGCCCAACCCCTTTTTTGATGCTTTCCTGACTACCAAAACGTGCAAATCTGTCATATGATGTCGTCGATTATGCCTTCTGGGAGCAGGTAACATGACATGGCGTAAGTAGACAGCGCTTGAGTCACAGACTTTAGGAATATCTCTCTTCCTCCAAAAGATAGGAGGTTCTTTGTCCAACCCTGAATTCCTTTGTCCGTTCCCTATCACCAGGGGAAGTGCTAGGTATATTCTTGGTTCTTCAATTTCTGTTACTCTGAATATTGTCCAATTTTAGCTCCTCAATGAGCTTGTATTTTTTACTGAAGTATATGTTGGATTTATCAAGATTGATTTTTGACCCGAGGCTCTCATACATTTGGAGTATTTCTTTAATCTTTTGGGCTTATTGTGCAGAATTTTTGAGGAACAATATGTTGTATACGCGTATAGAAGATGTGAAATTCTTGGACCTCTTAAGCTAGCTCTGAATCCTTTAGTAATTCCTTCTTGTTGAGCTTTAATCAGTAGGGCTGAAAGTCCTTAGGCGCAGAAAAGAAACATGTAGGGTGACAGTGGATCGCCTTGTCTTAGGCCTCGTTATGGAATAATAATTTCTGAAAGAGATCCATTTATTTTGATCTGGTAAGAGACTATGCTAAGGCATCCGTGGATTATCCTAACAATATTCTTATTGAACCCCATATGGGTTATGATCCTCAAAATAAATTTTCATTCCACCCTATCATAGCTTTTTCCACAATGCAACCCCTTTGTTTGGGACCAACTTTAGCACTCTTTAGGTAGTGAAAAATTTAGTGAGCCACCAGAAAATTAGTTGAAATTCTTCTACCTGGAACAAAAGCACTTTGGTTATGTGCAATGCATTTTGTAATGATTGGTTTTAGTTGGTTGACTATGACCTTTGATACAATTTTATAGATGTTCGTACAAAGGCTTATTGGGTCTAAATTTTTTTATGGAATCCGGATTAATGACTGGAATAAGGACAATAATTGTTTTATTGACATCACTCATCTCCGCAATGCCATTGAGAAGGTGAAGACACAAGTTGGTTATATCATCCCTCACAGTTTCCCAGAAGGATCTAAAGAAAGATCCTGACAGACAATCTATTCCTTGAGCTTTGTTAGGGTGAATTTGCTTAAACGCTCTCCAGATTTCCTCAGAAGTAAAGTCCTTTTCAAGGTCGGTGTTAACTTCCTCAGATATGCATCAAATCAATAGATTGTAAGATTGTTTGTGGAGTATCCATCTCAGATAACCTGAAGAGGCTGGAGAAGAAGTTGGAAGCTATTTTGAAGAAATCCTCTCGATGGGAGGTTGGGTTTCCTTGTTCATCTTTTAGAGTTTCTATCCAATTCTTCTTCTTCTTTTCAACCATTCGCTCTGGCACGGTAGAAAGTCATGTTTCTATTTCCTTAATCCACGCGACTCGGGATTTTTGTCTCCAATAAGCCTTGTCTATATCAATTAAGACATTCAACTCTCGTTTCAAAGGGGTGAGTTGCTTCATAGAAGCGTCAGTTATTAGGTCTAACTCAACTTTTTGGACTTTAGATCTGAAAATTTCCTCATATTTTTTGGCTTGATTTCTTCTTCATTTTTTCTACCAAGATCCTAGTCTTATGCCCACTTCTCTCATCTTGGTGAAAGCGGTTCCTGACGTATTCATATAAATATTGTTAACAAGGAAAATAAAATTATCTTCTTTGGCCCAACAAGGATCAAATTTAAAGTAGTCTCCTTTAGGATGTCTTGAATTGAGGCAAATACTCCCTAAAAGATCCATAATCCTGACACCATGGTCTGAAGAAATTGATTTCTTCGATTGGGCAATTGAATTATAGAATAATTGTATCCATTCCGGAGAATAAACGAAACGATCGAGCCGTTCTCTTATGAAATTCCCAGCTTTCCTTCTTGAGCTCCACATAAACCAGCCGAATAGGATTTAATATCCCATAAGTTCGCCTCTCACATTTAGCCTACGTTGACCTCCCTCATTTTCACTCGGGTGAAGAATTTCGTTTAAATCTCCACCCATAATCCGCGGTAAATTAGAGTTATTGGCAATTCGGTTAATTAGATTCCAATTATCTTTCTTTCTCGAGCTATGACAGTCTCCATAGAATCCAGTAAAACGAAATTGAAAGTCATTCCACATAATTTTCGTATCTACATGGAGATTCGAGTAGCCAAGAAGGGTCACTTTGATAGATTTATTCCGTAACAAAAGGAGCTCGGTACATCCCTTGGTGCTCTCTACAACAAAATAGTTCTTTATACCAAGTTACCAACCCTTATCCGAACTTGCTCGACTTTGTTCTTCCTAAGTCTACTTTCATATATGAACACAAGAAGGGGATAATTCTTAAAGATAATAAGTTTAAGTTCTTGAAATGTCGTTGGGTTCCCCAACCCGCGATAATTCCAACATAAGAGACTCATGTCTGTCGGCGGGGCTGGAAACCAGCCTTTGCCATTGAAAGGTCTTGAAAGCCACCTTCCTCATGGTTCTTCACGTAGCCTCTTTCGGTATTCTTACCCATGCATGTTATCTCGGAGTTTATGGCTCCTAACACCTCTCGTTACTCATAGTGCTTCTTAGTTCTTTTCTTGCTCTCATGCTTCCCACCACTCTTTCTTTTCCCATTACTTGAGTTGGTTGAAACCCCCACTTGCTCTTTCCCTTTCTTAATCATTTGAATAACAAAATCATTATACTCTCTTTGTTCTTCCGCCGGGTCAGTCTCCTCTCATGGCCTTCAATGTTTCGATGATTTGCCATTTCTCTAGGAAACGAATTGTTCGTTCATCCTTCAATTCGAATTGATCTTACTCTGGACGAACGGTGTGAACTTCTCCCGAAATTTTCTTGTTTCGTGGATGAATTAGAGTCTTGATCCACATAAACAATTCAACCTCGACAAGC